GTGGGTCATGTCTGAACATGGAGTGTCATGTCTGAACATGAACATGGCAGATCGTATCTGCAATTCCAGTATGTGGAAAGCTGGGGCAGGTTGCTTTTTGAGGCTGGCCTGGGCTTTATCCCAAAAGTGAGGCCTTGTCACAAAAAGTAAACAAACAACAAATTAACCAAAGTCAGTGGTCCTCAGAACAAATCTAACCCCTTTGGAAATCATGTGGCCATCTCTGGGTTTCCTGACTAAGGGAGAAGCCCTGTAATTCAAACTGAGGACCTTAGTTACATAATGAGTTATTCCTATTTTGTTTAAGTTTAATTATGCAAATGAAGTTGAAATCAATTTCAGTGCTTATGACTTTGACATTTGTTTAGTACCTTCACTTCCAGGACTCCCCCCTCCCCCCGAAATATGTGGGTTTTCATTTATGACCATGATATAGGTCTAATGAAAAATATAAGCCATTTGATATGAAAGTGATTCATTGATATGAGCTATTGAATTTGTTGCCAAACCTTCTGTGTGTGTGTTTTGGTAGCACACACAAAGTCAAGTATACTCCCAAGCCTGGACTGTGACTCAAAGATCCAATTTTATGTTTTGGTATGCATCGATTTCCTTCAGGTTGCTATCTATGGCATATAAACCCTGCCAATCCTATTAGCTGCTTGAAGCAAGGCTTTCATCACGACACTGTGCGATTTTGTCTCTGAAGTATCTTTCCCCTCAGAACTCAAGGCATGCTTCACACTCCAGTGGCCCATTTCCTGCCACACGCAGCGTGCACCCATGAACAGGGCCACGCAAGCATGACGCTTGCTACTCAACATTCTGTGAGTGCTTCTGCTGGTTTCAGCAGCTTGGTTCTGAGGTCTACCATTCTAGGCCAAGGCCTAACCCTCAGCACCTGACACCCGTCAGTGTTCGACATTCCGGTGCATGTTCAGGATTGTGGTCCACGCCGTGGCGCGTCTCAGCCATTCTCTCCTTCAGCAGTTTTTTCAGGATGGCAAGAAGTGGGTATAGGTTCAGACTCACTCTGAGATCCAGCTCCAAGTTGTGTTGTCTGTTCTCGTTCATGGATTTATGTGCTGAAAGATGCCAGCGAGAGTACAAATCTTTCTTGATGCTGAGCTTGGCGTAGAGTGAGGCAGCCCCGAGGTCTCCTCACGTCAATGTTGGGAAAAGGAGGCTTATTCAGCCCTCCATAGCTTATCATGCAAGAGAGACGCTCACCACTGGGATTTACGATCTCTTTCCAAATGGCTGTGGGAGGATGGCTACGTAAATTATACATCTCAACTCATTATGGAAGCCAGTTTAATTAACAGGTTTTGAGACATGTCACACTGTACACAGCCACTAAACAATTTCCTAAAATGGTGCTGGGCTCAAAGGTTGCCTCATGTCAGCTGGCACTGTTGTGACTCGGGGCTCTAGCCGTACCTGAAGTGAGCTCTTTTCCTAATTATTTCATTTCAGTTTTTTTTTTTAAAAAAAACTATGATTTGATGATTCATTCTTACAGGCTAGCCAGATGCTCTATTCAATTTCTTTGCCAAGTATTAGGTGTAAGGGCCACTGACTTAATCAAGGGTGACTTTTGTTTCAGGCAGTGGGGAGCATTGATCTCCACACCTCTGACTTAGTCAGAGGGTATGGTATAAACAGAAGGAAGTTGCTCATGTCTGCACCCACAGGGAGGAGAAGTGAAAAAGGCAGGCCGTGAACTCTGGTTGTGTTCTGGGTCTTCATCCGCAGACAAGAAGCAGCCAGTCAATTTATTCTCTGTGTGGGGATATGTAAAAATTGGGGAGATAAAAATTCCCATATTATTACCAACTTTCCCAAATTACTCTTTGGTCTCTTTTAGCTTATTATTAGTAATATAATGCTCTTTCTCTTTTTTTTTTCTAACAAAAAATTCATTCTGGACAAGATTCATAAATCAAGTGTTGTTCTCAGGCATGAAGCTGAAATGAAATTAAAAATATAAATGGAAGAAACAGCTCAATCCAATAAACACACTCAAGTCATATTTAGTGCTCCCAACACTTGGAGCTGTGGGGTTACATAAGCAGGGGGATTAGCATTTTAGCCATTGGATCAGTTCCTCTCGTTTCTTCGCTTGCCGCAGTGATTCTGTTTGTTCACTGACATCACTGATGGGGCCATGATTGATTTCGGCACTCCATCTTCAGTATTTCCAAGTTTTAAACCTCTGACCAATAACTATAGCCCTAGAAAAGTGCTATTAGTGACTCTGACAGGAAAGGTTCGGTTGATAATATCTGTTCAGTTTTATCTGAAATGGGGAGTGCTTTCACAATTCTCACATTCGTGGATTAGAAAAAAGGATAAATGCGGCTTACAGTTGTGCTAGTCTGTTTATGCAGTAGAAAGACTGTAAAGAACCAAGCAATTATGTGGAGAATTCATACAAGCAACCTGACACTTTTTCTTGCAGTAGCAAAATCTGTGCTGAGAATAATTTTTTGCTCGCAAGTCTTCCTGCAGCTCTCAGGTAAACAAAATATTGAGCTGTGTTTTTAACTGCATTGTTCTGCCCAAATCTGTTTCCGATGGCTATCCCAACATTACTGGCTCTTTAGAGATCGAAAGGCATAGTTTTCTGCTGCGCCACAAAGAAGATTCATTTGCAGAAGGATGTTTGGGTTATAAATAAGTTTTCATTTTGCTAAGAATACATGTGTGTGTGTGGGGGGATAACAATGCAGTTTTGCTATTAACAGAATGTATCCTTTTCTCTGACATGTACAAGGTTGCAAATTGGTGCAGAAATCTGTAGAAATACATCAGTTAGCCTGCCTAGACTCTGTAGCCTGATAAACCATCCCCACTTGGATACTGTCTCCAGTCTTGGCACTGTCTCAGAGCACTTGAGAAAATGTCAAGCTGGAATGACACCAGTGGCAAGTGACAAATCCCTTCCCAGTTTTTACCACATTATGCATGCACTGAGAAAAAAAATCATCTCAAAATTTAAAATTTTTTTAATTCCAGTGTAATTTTCAGCCAACATGTAACTCAACTAAGAAGTCAACATGTAACTCAGCAAAAATACTTCTTATTCATAATGATGGCTTCAGGATGTGGCTTCCTGGAGCCTAGAGAACTGTTGCTTCGACCCCATTAGTAGAAGTCAATTGCACATGGAATCATTAAATCTCTGAGGGTGAGGAAGGCGTACTGGGAGAGCTTTAACGTTCAGGTCACTTTAATCCACGTTTAAAATATATTTCTGCTACTTGCCAATGGGATATCTACTAATCTACATCTGTAGATACAGAGGCAAAGGTGTGAACACGGCTTTGTCTTTCTTGTAGAAAAACTGAGGAAAAGAGAAATCTAAACGGGCCTTATAAGAATCCTGTATATGGTTCTTTGCCTCCTGGCATTCCTTAGCTGGTCCCGGGCTGACACTTCCTTCCCCATATTTTTGTACCTGTATGGTCTCTCTATCAAGCAGGACCCAACTAAAAAGCTCACATAACTATTTTGAAAGATTTGTTTACATTATTACAGGTTATGTGCCTGTCTCAAAAATAACCCTATGGGTTCCTATGGTGGGAGCTATATTTGATGCCTATCTATGCTCTGAGCATAGCCTAGTCACTACCAAGCTCCTCCAAAGCAATTCAGGTTAAATTTAAGCTGGGCTGGAAACAATGTGTCCATTTAACCCCAAGGATTGCAGCTCTGGCTGGCAGGTTATTTGCTTTTCTGTTAAGATTGTATCTCTACAACCTGAAATGGGAGGCCCGCTCACAAAGAGAAGTTACAAGGCTGGGAGCAAAACAAAGCAGGGCTTGGACCTCCTTTGCTTCCGTTGACTGAATGCATTGATAAATAATATATAAATAATAATAATAATAAATAAAATGGGGTTTCTTCCCCTGAAGTTGAGTTAGTTAAAAGATAGATGCTTGAGCTTGTCAACCTCAAAACAACAGCTTCTTTTCGACTACTGAACATTATTAAATGTTTAGTATCAAATGGATTGATTTCAACAACACATTATGTTGAATTTCTTAAACCCTGAGAAACATACGCAAATGTCAAGTTCTGCACTTTCTGAGAGGATGTTCTCTAAGGACTAGAAAGGCTCCATGCCTTCATTCTAAAACGTGTCTCTGCATACAATACAATTCAGTCCATGAAACAGAGTCACCAAACGCTTTTGTTTTGAGAAAAAAATATTTCTGGAGATGCTCGCCTAACTTCATCTTTCTCTGGGATCCTCTTCTTGCTCCACACCAGGGCCTGGCAATTGACTGATTCTCTTGATCCTGGCCGCTGAGCTCCTCAACGTCACTGGGATTCACACTGTGGGGATCAGAAGCATAGCTACAGACGGGTACAGGCTTGGTGATGCTCAGTGTAACACAAAGCAACACACCTGATTGATGAGGCAATGTACCATCTTAGCACTGAACTGTCACAAAAAGCCACATGCTTGGATGGCATTAGTGAAGGAACCTGGAGGAGTGGCCACTTCATGTTGAATAACAAATGTATTTTCAGATGGTAGAGGCTTTCAAAGGGCCTCTGGCTCTGGGGAGGTAACCAGGTCACCAGGGTGGTGATGATTCCTGGGATGGTTCAAACTTGGTTCTGGATCACCAGGGCGGTCGGCTTTGGCAACTCTTGGAATACTTCAGCCCTAGCTGAACTTAATACTAGTTCTGTGCTTTCCTGACATCAGGGTGACCAGGTGTCACCCAGTAAATATGAGTTTTATCTGGCTGTTGCCCTTTGGACAGTAGCAGTGTTTGACTGAATTTGTGCTGACTGTCCAACTTGTGGAGACTTAGTCTAAAAAAAAAAATAATAGAAAACATCCACTTAAAGAAACTCATTTCATTTTGAAGAATTAAAAAAAGAACCCTCAGAAAGGAGTCCCTTAAAAAGGAAGTTTCGGAACGCATTCAGAGCTATAGTCAATCAAAAATTTAACATAGCTTCAAACATAGCTTGATTTTAGCAGCTCCAAAAATACAATAAAATATCTTCTATACAAAACAAAGCCGGTGACTATTATGCTTATATTTTATTTGTTATGAATGAGGAATCTATCCACCTTATGCTACAACCATTAATACAAGATCTTATTTATAAATTAGAGAAAAGTAAAGTTTATGTCTTGGCAAAATAATACTGTATATAATACTACACATGTTCATATACTTAGTTTGCACTGATATTGCAAGAAGGCTTTTGCTTTAAGGCCTTCAGCTCAAAACACAAAACAAAATTCAAAAATCATCTTTTTCAGAAACCCACTAAAAAGTGACAGAGAACATGCTTGTGTGGCATGCGCATTTGATCTTGACCCTGGGTCTGTCTGTGACCTCAGGAGGATGGCCCTGGGATGTGCTCTGCTTCAGTAAACAAAAAGGGAGGAAATGGTGGCCAAATGCAGTGACGGGTTTTGGGCACTCATCCGCTGTTACGTAACAACATGGTCCTGTGCCACAAGAAATCTCCATCCTGGATCAAGGTTTTATTTCTGAAGATCTATTTTTTTTCTAATATACCTACGTTATTAAGACTTTTCTATACAATAAATCTGTCGTTGTCCCTAACAACTGGGGGATAAATTTAGACTACTAATTACTTTTCTGAAATTTGCTTATATAATTGTGCTTAACATTTACTGAATTTTTTTTTTGTGCGCCAAGAATGGTTCTAAGTCCTTAAAGCATATTAGTTTATTTAGCCCTCGCTTGAATAATTAATCCTATGAGTCAAATGGTATTATTATTGCTATTTAACAGCCTCAGAAAGGCAGGCGGTGTTATATAAGCCCTGGAAGTCACACTCTGTGCTCCACTGATTTACACACTGGGTTTTTAAACCTAAAATTATTCCGCGAATAAAAAAAGAAGCCCACATGAAATAAGTCTGCTTAGCAGTGGATGCTGTTAGAAATAAAACTGAGGAAACTTTTATAGCACTTCTCTGCACCAAGCCTGTTACAAGCACTTTATACGTAGATTAGATTATTCCATCAGCTGTTTATCCCTTTGACATAGGTCCCGGTTTTATTCCTGCTGTATAGAGAGGGAAATTGAGACAGCAGAGACTGAAGTGTTTATTCTGATCAATACCAACAAGCCACAAAGACCAATACCTCCAGTCAGTTGTTTAGGTTGAATTTTCTGGTTTGCAGGGGAAAAATTTGTTTCTATTCATCCCTCTTTAGTTAGGCTATGGGAGAGTAACTTCACAGTTTGTTAAATATCATCATGTTGCATTTCCTGAGGACTGGAAACAGGGCCCTACTTAACTTTTCAATAACACACTCTCTAAAGGCAAAATGGAAACACAATGTTACCAGGGGCTTTTATTGCTTTTGTTTGTCCCTTATTCCTTAGAAATTCACTTTTGCTGTATAGAAAAGTTCAATAAATTAACCCAGAGATTCCAAGTGAGCCATTAGCTGAATGCATACAGTCCGAGGGAAGACTGATGCCACTTAAACTTTATTACAGAAAGTCACACCAGTGGAAGTTTACGGAATATATCACTCTCTGCTACGCTGTATGTACAAATCGAAGATTGTATCCAGCATAAATCCAATACTCTGAATTTAAGTTAAGCTTTTAGGGCTGAAGGGGATCACAGAGATTACATCATTCACCAGAGGCCTAGGGGGATTAAGAGATTTGCCTGTGGTTCTGCAGATGATGAATACCTACCCCAGATTGCAGCAGCCTGGGGCGATGCCTGATCTGCTGCTGCAGCCGGTAGAAGGTACATCACAATGGTCACAATAAGACAGTAGCCCCTGTGTTAAATTAAGTCTGTCTTCTGGAACTCTGCTGCCCTCTGCCCTCTGACCGCTGCTCTTCTGCCTACTCTGCAGTTGTTCCCCTTAGAGCTGGGTGGGTCTTTTAACCCTTTCTTACAGAGCTGATGGTGGAGGCCTATCTCTACAGCACTATGAGCTTCCCAGCTAGCACATGCCACTGAGCTCCTTCCGTCCTGAAACCACGCACCTACGGCAGCATGACTGGTCACTCGTGAGGAGCAACACGAGCTAGTGACACTTTTCTTGGAAAGCAGTGTTCCTGTCTTCTGCAGTGAGTCTCAGATCGCCCTCAGAGGGAGCGTAAGGGAACTGTAAATTTTTTGTTTTCTGGTCTTGACAATTGACAATGTAAACTAATCCTGAAACACAATAACACTGCTGTGCCTTATGCGAGCCATAGATGCAAGACCACGAGCCTGAAACTGAGATCAAATAGAAAAACGGGTGGATGGGGAGGGGGTACTAAACCTGGCACCCCTGTAAATGAACCTGGAGGTTAACTACAAGTATTGTAGGAAAATAGTACTTACTCGAGGTTCCATTCTACTTAAAAGACAAACTCCCAAGAGCCACATATTTCTCTGTGTCTTCCAGTCACACACTAGAAATGGATCCGTGCACTCACATCTCTGACATTTGGGGGAAAGGTGACTACAGAGGAATACTTGGGATTTACGAGAGACATTGTTCACTGGTGACTGTGCTCTGGAGTCATGAGTTCCCAGGTAAAACGAGGCAAGGTTATGTTTAACTGTTTGGAAACTTTTTATTTAAAAAAAAAGACTTTAAATACTAATGTTACCTTCCATACAGGTGTAATAATACTCAGTAACACATGGTGGACTTGGTATTGTGAGTTAAGGAATTAACAGTCCAGTCTAGTTGCTGGCGCCCGCCACATACCCTGGTAGCAAAATGCAAAGATCCTTTTGGAAAATAGAGTCCTTTGGACAGCTGTAGCCTGGAGCAGGGTAAGGCAAGGGAACCCTCTCTCCAAGTTCATGCTTTAGGCTTTGAGGTCACCTAGAGAGATCAGTTCTAAGAGAACCGACTCTTCTAGGCTCTTCAAGAAGAGGGAAATCAAAAAGCTTGTCATTTATTCACAAGCAGCTATGGACAAGGTCAGCAGCAGAGTAGAGGGGCGGGGGAAGTCGGGGGAAGGGCCAAAGAAAAATTGGAGTAAAGTGCAGAGTTATTGTCAAAAATATATTATTTTGAGCCTAGGAAAATTAAAGAGATTTTTTCTAATGAACTAAATTGTGACCTTATAATACATCTGGTTTTCATGGAACATACAATCACCATCGGACATAAAAAGACGACTTTTTTTTTTTAGTTGTTGTCTACACGAATCTTGTGAACGCAATTCAAGGATAACATCTTGCAGCTCTTTGGATATTGAATGGTTTCCTCGGACCTGTCCACAAGGAAATGGATTGGGGTTAATTTAGGGGTTCCAGTGGGACTCTCCTTTCCTGCCCCCCTCTCCCTAGGTGGAAGAAGAGTTTTCCAGTTCCGGGTCCTCTACTCCTGGGGTGTGAGACCTGGAAATCAGAAAGAGTTTCTCCTTGTTTGTAAACTGCCTCTGCACAAACCGAGGCTGCTCCGCCCTACTTGTCTCTGGACTGGAACGCTCCGGGGAGCTAGGCTCGGCACCGGGATCCGTGGCATCCGCACAGTCTAGCCTTTTCCGGGCCACCAAGTCCACGACCGACTCCACAGAGGTGTCGGCTTCCCTTAGGGGGGTGTAGCCCTTATTGCTGCAGGACTGCTCATCCGACTGAGATCCCTGGGAGTCCCGACGGACGAGGGGCGTGTCCTCGGGGCACAGAGGGAGTGAGGGCGTGGCGGCTGTATCCCGAGGGCTGGAGTCCAGGTCCGCTGCGTGCGGGGAGGGAGGGGGCTCCGGCGACGGTTGAGCCCGGTAGTCCAGGAGCCCGCTGGTGCTGCGGCGCCGCCAGGCCGCGTACCTGCCGGTCCTGGGCAGGCGGCCGCCCTGCCCCCTGGCGGTGCATGCTGTCGCCAAGCCCTCGGGCTCCTCCGGTTCACCAGACGCCCAGCGCGCCCCGCCTTCGGCTCCCCGGAGGTCAGTGAGGCTCAGGTCCAGTTCTTCCCTCGGGAGATCCCGGGATCCTCGTTCCCCGGGCGGCCTGTGCCAGCTGCAGCTTGCTCCCTCCGAGTCCCCATCTCTGTCCTGGTCCCCTGGCAAAGGCATCAGTGCAAAGGCGCTCAGTGAGGAGCCCACGAGGGAACTGGTGGTGCTCTGGCGACCCCAACTCCCGGTAGGGCTGCAGGGCGCCGGACTACTGCTGCTACTGGCGGCCGCGGTGACAGTGGCAGTGGCCGAAGCTATCGCGGCAACTGTGGTCCGGCGATGGCCAGCCCCGCTGGAGCGCTCACGGTAGATACTGTACACTGCCTCGGCCAGGCTCGGGGGCTCCCGGGGACAGCGCGGAGATGAAACCAGGTCCGGCGGGGACCCTGCACCTCGAGTCACACCGCCGCCTCCGCCCAGCCCGGCGGGGTGGGGCCATGAGCCTCTGGTCAGCATTGCAGTGGCCCCGAAGGCCTCTGCAGAGCCCGTGCAGCTACCAGGTTTCAGCTCCAGACCCCGAGATTGCACGCAGCTGAGAAAGCCATTGAGTGGCGCTGCCCTAGGGGGAGCAGAGCCGGGGGCGGTGGTGGAGGAGGAAGCTGCGGCTGCAGCGGCTGCAGCTGCTGCTGCCGCCAGATCTTTGGCGCGGAGGCTGTGCACGTCGATGACGGTCGAGTAGAGGTCCCGCAGATTGATGATCTTGGTCTTCTTGTCCCTGTTCTCATGGAGCACCGCGTTGGCGCAAATGAAGAGGAAGATGCCGATACCCATGATGAGGGGCCCAAAGACCTTGAGCTTGTCTGAGTGCAAGTAGCCTGAGACGATTCGGAAGAAGAAGCCCACCGATGAGGAGGAGGAAGAAGAGGATGTGGCTGCAGATCTAGTAGGAGGCGAACTCCTGGGCCCGCCCACAGAACTAGAGTTGACACCCCCTGGGGTCCCAGAGTGGCTCTTGGTTGGGTTTTTGCTGCCACTGCTGTTGTTGCCAGTGGTCCCAAAGCGATGGCTACCCTCCACCGGCGGTAGCTGCTTGCCGCCTCCTCTGTTGGCTGCGTTGGCCTTTGGCCAGTAACCCACCACGGCCATGGCTATACCCACCAACAGCACTAGGATCCCGCAAAGGGCAATAAGCCCCGAGATGGAGCACAGCTTTAATTTCCCTTTCACCACCACCACGTCGTTCTTACGCCTCTTTTTGGCTTTCCTCTTGCGCTTAGGAACCTGGCTGGGGGGCCGGAGGGGATCCTGCTTTCTGGCAGATATCCTCAGTAGGCCACCGGTGGCGATCATGGCGAACTGGTGGGTGGAGTTCAGGGCTAGCCCCTAGGGCTGGGGCTGAAGCTTGAGCGAGCCAACTGCCCTCTAGATGCTTGGCCACCTCCTCCTGCAGCAAAGCAGAGGAACACAGTCAGAGGGTGTGGGCTTGGCTGCAGCAACATCCCACGTGCTAGGGTTGCCCCTGATCCTGGATCCAACTCCAGGTGTGTCTCCACCCCCACCTCAAGGCCAAGTGCTGGGTATGCAGACCAGAGACGGGTCTGTGTAACTGAAGAGAAAGGTGGCTTGAAACAGTTTCACCACCACCACCCCGCCCCCACATGCTGCCAGGGTGACCTCGTGGTACCGTTCATCTGAAAGCCTCCTGGCTGGCAGCCAGTGGAATTCCTACCATCCTTATAAACTCAGCGAATGTGGGGGCTCCAAGTAGTGTGTGAGGGCTTTCTTGGTCAGCACCTCTGTGTTTTCACCCTGCCTCTCTCTGCAATGGAAAAGTTCCCCAAAGGGAGGGCTTCCGGCCCCATCAGGCCTCCGAGCCAGGAGCTTGCCCCATGTGAGCTGAAAGTCACTAAACAGTTCTGAAAGTTAGTAGTGTATAAAAAGAAAGGAATCCATTTCCCAGGATGAGAGCGCAACACCACACACTGGCAGAATGGCTTACTTCAGATCAGTGACAGAGAGTATTGTCCAGAAAATCTCAGCACTACTTCTTCAATACCATCAACAAATCTTTCCATAAAGTTGCCTCTTGGCTACTCTGGTCCTAGGGCAATGGGTAAGCACAGCCCCTCCCAGTCCCCTTGTCGCCACCCTGCAACATCTGGAAAGCTTCTTGGTGTGGAATATTTCCATTTAGGTAACTGTTATGTAACCATGCTCTTCCTTCTGGCTTTCTGTCCTCCCCTGGAGGAACTCCCTCTAAAGGTCTCCTGTACTAGATTTCATCAGGGAATCCGAGAGGTCCCCTGCAATCTCCGTAAGAAATAACCCTTCTCTTACGTGGGAAAATTTCAACATTAAAACAACAACAGAGAACTCGGCCACAACAGCGTCTGGCCCTTTTATTAATGTACCAAGAACCCCAGTGTTCAAATGAATAGTCAATTAGCTGGGTAAAACAGTCTACATAGTGCTGATTTATAGGAAGGTATTTCCACACATAAAAGCTGTTTGCTTCCTCCTTTTTTCTGAAGGTCATTTTGAGGAAGAGGAGTGGAGGCAAGGTGCCCTAGTTCTGGGAAGCTCTCTGGGTTGTTGGCTATACAGTCTAAGTAGGTACGAGAACTGATGCCTGCTCCTGGTTATCTGTCAGCTGTCAAGAGTCCCACTCTGCTGGGTCCTCAGAGTGCATTCTCTCTTCCAGTGGTGGTGGTGTTCCCTCCTGTAATAGAGATGCTGAAATTAAGGGCATTATGTGGCTCTTAAAGATACAGAGGGCCACCACAGGCCTTTGAATGTACGATTCTTTCAAGACAGTCCACATAGTAGAATAAGTTATCCTTGGAAAATGGAAGTTACTTGGGTAGAATTTTGCTTCTAACTGGTGCTTAGGTGAATAACTCTGGCCCCTGATTCTTTCAGAATGTCAGCCTGGGTAGGATCTTTTCTCCACGTGGTAAGCAAATAGCAGTCAGGTGTTTTTTTTTTTTTTAATTGCTTGCAAATCGGTATCTCTTTGGAACTTGGTTGGAATTCAATAGAGAAATGTCAAATGTTTCCGGGGGTGGGGGTGGGGAGTGAATGGTGAGACTATATCTATAGCAAACCTTTAAAATTTGTTTTTTAAAAGGTCCTGGGCCAATAAACATAAATACTGAATAGACATGACAGGCTGTCCCCATGCTTGTACTGTCTATATGGTTGCAACATAGATATTGCTGTTTTAACTGAACTGGAAGGCTCCAGCGTCTTGAATAATCTTGAGGTCTGGATTGACTTCAGGAGTCTTTAAAGTCCAGGCATTTTAGAAACAAAGCCAGCTCCAGCCTGCAGGGTGGCTCTCTGAAGAGAGACGTTTTGTTGGACACAGATCAGGTGCTCCCCCCCCCCCACACACACACACCCCATGCTGGATGTCTTGGAGGAGGAAGGGACCTTCCTCTTCTGCAAGCCAGTTCACATCCCGCAGAATATAAAGAAAGTTGGAATGGATTTCAACCACGGTTTACAGACGATATTTAAAATTAGTTTTTAATAGCTGGTAATTAGTTCCCTAGTTTATTATGCTTTCAGCTCGCTTGACAACTGAACTCCTTTTCAGTGTCTCGCGATCTGGCACAGAATACTGACGAAGGTCAGGTGCCACGGAAAAGCCCCTTTGATGCTTTCCTTAGACCTAACGAAGAAAAACAAACTTAGCAGCAGATGTCGTATGCCTTCTCAACTGGCTGCCTGGCGTGAGTCCTGCCTTGGTTAAGGAATGGAGGATGGGGAAATCAAATGAGGGATGTCTAAAAATACAACTGCTTCCAAGAGAGAGATTCAAGTTCTCTGCTCATGATGGATCGAGCCCGGCGTCAGAGACTCAGGGCCCCAGGTTGCGCTCCATACTGTGCCCCACACCCAACCTAGGTCCTCGACCCCCGGCCCCTGGCCCCAGGGCCGTGCATCTCTTGCCCTTGCTTTAGTCACATGAGTGCAGCAGCTGCAAGTCCGCCTCTGGAGGGAGGACGGGCTGGAGCGACGTGAAAGCAATCCCCAACTCGCCTTTTCTGGGCAGCGCAACCCTGGTAGCACGCCTAGGAGAACACCTGGCTCGGAACATCCGCCAAGGGGCCTGGGCTGAGGGACAGGCGGGTTGGTGAAGGGCGCTCGGAGGCCGGGGATTGACAGGATTGCTCAAAATGGAGGCACTCTAAGCAAACAATAATCTCTCACTTACCCAGGGAGACCGGGGCAGCTCGGGAGACACAAAGAACCATGGAGAAACTTTTCAGCCCGAGCCGACGGCGGAGCGCAGGGACAGCGCCCCGGGGCCCGGGGCGCAAAGGCTGGACAGCTCGGCCAGGACGAACCTGCTCCAGGGGCTCGCCGTTCCCTCGGGCGCGGTGGCGGGAGCCATTTCCAAGAGTTTCCAAGAAGTGTCAGGTCCTCCGCAGCCCGCGCGCCGCCTGGAGCCCTTCTTCCCTCGGGCGCGCCTCCTCGGCTGCCACTGTCCCCTCCCGTCGCGCTCCCCGCTGGCCCTTGCGGCCGCGCGCTTGCCGGCCTTGTGCTTCTTTTGTGTGGCTGCGGCGCGCCGGGCTTCGCCGGGTGGAGTTGAGCCCGCGGCGGCTGCTCCGGGCGGCCGGACTGGCGGCTGTTGCTAAGAGACAGGAGCCATGACACAGGGAAATTGCGGCAGGATGGCAGTCGGTACCCGGTCCGGCTTAGCTCTCAGGGGGCGCACCCGCCCCCCCGCCCCGCCTCCAAGCCCCCCAGTCCCTCCCCTGCCCGCCGCCCGTCCCTTCGGAAGCGACTTGTTCCCCCTTCCCAGGAGGGGCGTCAGGGGAGCCGACACCTGCACCGCGCACTTGAGCCAGGTCGGGGCGCGATCGCGCCAGGCAGGGTTCTGGACGCTGCTGGGCCGCCGTCTGCCTCAGCTGACAGCTCCTTAGGTTTCTCCCAACTACCTGTCTGAGCAGCAAACCCAAGAGGACCCAAAGAAAGGCCAGCCCCTCCCAGGGAGTCCCCTATCAGCATCCTGAAGCCAGAGGGTAGTCTCCAGTTCGCTGTTTCTTCTGGCCCCTCTCCTCTCTGTTCTCCCTTTTCTTTCACCCGCTTCAGCCCCCCCCGCTGTTGGTTCTTTTTTTTTTCTTTTGTTGCTCCTACTCTACAGGGTACATAGTCTTGCTCCCCCCTGCCCCGCTCCCACCTACACTTGGGAGTTTGTAAATGCTCCCCAAGAACACAGTAAGTTGTTCCCCAGCGAACCCCGCCCGGGAGGGGCGGAGCGGGCTCCACAAAGCTGGGCGCATCATCGGACTCACGGAAACCTCTGTCAGATGCTATCACACTTCTGCAGAACTAGGCTGTGGAACCGGCCTTAAGGGACCTCGGTGACTTCTTGGGATGTGAGCAGCTGGGGTTCATTTGAGATTAGGATAGGTGGACCCTGCTGTTCCCACCCTAGGAGGATACCCACGCCCTCAAATCGAAACTCAATCCCCAGGAATGAGAATCAGGGTTCGCATCAAAGAGGAGAGGTGGGGTGTAGGGAGGTTGTCCAAACTCCCTACGTCATTTAAAAGGAAAAGAAGAGCACACACACACACACACACACACACTCACACACGCGCGCGCGCGCACACACACACACACACACACACGCACACACTCGGCTGCACGCAGGGGGGCGTGGAGAGAAGCACCTATTTCCAGGAGGGGGAAGCACCTATTTCCCATCTTCCTTCTTTCAACTACATAGTAGAAATGACAGGGAAAAGAGTTTTCAAGTGGAATTTCCCCACGGAGTGCCGAGAAAGTTAGAAAGGTTTCAATTAGTCCTTAAAATGGGGTGGCCAGGATTCAGGCAGAGAGGAACCGAAAAGCAGATAAAAAAAAAGACTGTCTAAAATGTGGCATCCAAGCAAGGATATTCGGGCGGTGACGGTAGTGGGTGCTGTTTACTGTTCAAGGGTGTAACAGGACGACTCTTGAACCTACAGATCCAGCCTTTAGGTTGTTCTAAAAGTACGCAGTGTCTCAGGAATATGATTGCGCATAAAGAGCAATAAAGACACTGAATAGAAATAGAGGGTCCATGATAAAAGTGAATAACTATCAATGGAACAGGGATGGAGGCGCTGGGGAGATCGGAGGGACAAAGGTGGTATGAGTCCTACCGGGATGTTTCAGAGGTAACCTTTGCCATCTTTCTCCAGGCCTACGGATCTGGGCTGCGATTGGAGTTTCAGCCAGACCTCCTTCCATGCATTTTTGCTCAGCACCAGAATATTAGAAAACAAACGTCAACAAAGGAAGCGCTTCCGACCCCACAGTGGAATGTCTCCTTTTACGGGAATCCCTGCAAAGGAAAAGTAACCCAACTCCTTCCCGGGGTTTGCTAAAGCCTTTTGGCTCAGAATCCCCGCATTTCTGGAACCCGATAGTGATCTGGTGTTTTGGACAAAGATTGGACCCCGCAGCCCTATTTCATCACAGAGCTGACTGCTCAGGGCCAAATGGCAACTCTCCCCCTCTGTCCTGCAGGACTATATACACACAGGAAAAATAACGAAGATAAGATTTTAGGCAGATCAAGCAGGTTAACGGTGCCACTCTCTGCATAAATTATAGTCACCAGGTGCACACTGAAAACTCCTTTGATGGAGAAGAAAAAGAAATCTCTATCTTGACAAAGCAGGGGTTGTGGCTTCATGCTTCTTACATTGATGACTAATATCTCTGGTTTATGTTGAAAGTCTTCCTCCCAAACTGGGCTCCTTTGGTACTTAGAACTGCTCCCAGTAACACTCAGTCCTTTCCTTTGTTTTCAGCTCAGGCTATCAAAGGAAATCAAACATCCATCTGCTCTCAGTGGAGGCTTTCATTATCTCTGGACTGCACCATCACCCAGCCTTCCCAGGGCCTTTCCAGATGTGCCAAGGTGTTTGTGAAGCAACAACAAAGCTCTCGGCCCTTCTGGTCGCTGCCCCCACTTCCCTGGCCACTGCTTTCTGAGGTTCAAGACATACCCTCGTTCCTGCTAGGCTGAGGGTCAAGCCTCATCTAATTCCATCTAAATACTTGGCAAGATACTTTGAACGTGTGATTATTGTGAGGGAAAAGATTAACTGGATACCAACCGTTGCATTAAACTCTGGCTCGTACCTTTTTATTTTCTCTTAAAAAGGATCTGTATTTCTTGGGATGCCATATTACAGCAGACTTCCTGTCCCACTGACTATTAGAATCTGTTGTCCCATCTTCCACAGTATTTCCAGAGCCTTAGGTACAGCAGTTGCATTGTAGATGTACCAGTTGGGGCTGGGACCGCAGTGTGTTCTCTTCAACCGCAGACAAAGAACTATAGCCAACGAAGGAATGCTGACAGAGAAGATTGTGTTTCCCAGTGAAGAGCTTCCCAGCTGGTTATCCAATACCAGTGGTCAGCCTCCAAACATATGCATGCAAGTGACATTATATAGAGTCTGAGCAGATTATGTTTATATTTTTAGGGGAAGAAAAAAAGCAACATGTATTAACAGTGAAAGAAAGAAGACCTGGATTGAGGGAGAGCAAGGAAGGTAGATGAGAGGAGGTGGAGGGAGGAAATGGAAGAGGGAAAATGTAGTTATATTGTAACTTCAAATAGCCCTCATATAATGTAAGAAGTCACTCATCATACAGTCATTTCAAACACCTAGACCTGCGTATATCTGGGCTTCTCTATGATGGGGCAGGTAGTCCTATACTACGTACACACTCAGATCTCCTTTAGACTCAGGAGTCTGCCCACAGAAGATGGCCGGCTCAAGCCAGAAGGCTAGCAGATCCCACCACTGCATGGCTTTTACTCCCTCAGAGCGCTCATGCAATGGAAAGAGTGCTTGGGTTCTGGAACCATCCTCCACTAACTGACTGCTTAGTTTAAGTAACTAAATCACATAATCTTGCCTCTTTCAGCTTTCCCACCACAATGGGGATAATGATATTAATACTCCTAACATGACTGTGATGAGGGTTAATACATGGAGTTGGTGTAATAAGCCCATGCTTAGTACATTGTAAGCACTCATTACACTTAGCTAAGTCCATACTGGATTTAACATCTCCCAGCCTGACTCCCCCACTCTCCATACCTCATATTTACCAGGATCTACATAGGACCCGCTGTGAGCAGCCCATTCCTGTCCTGAATCGCGTACAGAGTCTCCAGAAAGCCGATCTGGAGGAAGAAAACACTTCTCCACTATTGGTTCACCCATTTTACGATTAACTGGGGAACTCTGATTTCAGTTTATTGAAGCCCGGATTTTAAACCCATACGATTCTTCAGTCAAAGCATAAATCAGTGAGAACAAATAGAACATTCTTCTGGTCAGGGGTTTGAAGGTGTCATAGAAAAGACTCCCAAACCGCTGAAAGGTATAATACCAGAAATGAACAAAACATAACCTTGGCTAGAGAAAACAAAACCTCTCCTTCCTCTCCACCCTTTTCATACTCTGACAGTAACAACAGCAAAATGGCAAACACGCATAGAAGAGTGAAACAAGGCCCCGACACACAGACAGAGTCAGTAAGGTAACAATGTCCAGAGCGCACATCCCCTAAGTAACTATTGCTTCTGGAATCCAAGTTCATGTATTATGTTTTACCTTCAAGGCAATCTTATTGCCTTTTTTAATTGATTTTTTTCTATGATATTTATAGGTTAGAAAAGGAGCCCCAGAAAACAGAAAGCATACATTGCAGCTCTGGACCACAGTCTATGTATTTTCCTGGGAACAGAGAGATAGGAGAGAACACAGCGTAAGTCCCAGTGCAGCAATGAAACTGTGAAGCCCCAGGATAGCATTTGCACAGCTGGGCTTTGCTGAGCCCTGGGGTTTCCTGGAGGTAGCACTTACAGTGTTGTGCTCCAGCCTTTCCCCGAAGAACACTGCTGTGTGATCAAGGGACCTGTGCTTGCCTCAGCTTCCAATCCCCCAGAGTCACACAAGTAAACCTCTGAAGAGAGAACGTTCAAGAACTTCAATTGTGAAACCAAAGTGAAATTCATGCTGGTGTTAAGATGATAGTCAGGGGCCATTTCTTGTGCTTCTGAGAGTTACCGAAGAGTCCAAGCCCAAACAAGGATGGGCAGATGCAAACTAAAGTACCTCCCTTAGTACACATCCCACAGGGTCTCCAGCCTTTACTCCAGACAGATAGCAGGGGTCAATGACAGCCTTTGCTTTCTCTCCAGTCTGGTTCATTCGTACCATTAAAGCTATAAAAATCTGCTAAAGGTTGTTTTCTCTAACGAGTAGGTTCGTTTTCACTCACTTAGTTTTCCTCAAATCGCCCGAATTTCCTACCATTTTCCATGTACACCATCAAAGCCAGATTTAGTGCCTTTCAAAGTAATCGAGCCTGGAGAACTGGAGTGCTCTGGCAGGCCTGAAAGCAGATCAAAGCCTAGCTCATCAAGGGCTCTGCAGCGAGAGCTTCGTCAGCGAAGCAGCCAAGAAGAGAGTCGCAGTTGGATCTGGTTCGTCTTCCCAAAATGTGTCTTCACGTCTACCTCAATGTTCTTACTATCCTGCATAATTTTTAGCATTACAGGTAGACAGCTTATCTTTCTGAGCTGCTCATGACTCATGTGTCCAAGCTTAGAACATCAACTGTGCTATGAGTTGCTGTGGGTACGCAGCAGGAAGCAGAAGGCACAGATAAGGAATTGCAAAAGCAAAGAGCCAAAAGGTCCGAGATTTGCTACTTGGGTCTTTGCTTCAGCCAGTGAGTACTCTCCTAAGTGGCTCTTGTGGTTTCTCAATGGCCACTGTGGTTCCTATATTATTCACTTGAGAGATATTTGTGGAACAGCTAGAGCTTCTAATCACCATGCAGACACACCGTGGGAGCAGCGCCATCAAACACATCCTTCTGTGGCTGTTAGTAAATAAGCCATGAGCAAAAGGAGAGAACTGTGGATCTTGGTAAGTTTCACGAAGAAATTAAGAGTCTGGGGAGAGGTAAGAATGGGCAGTAGGAGAAGGCAAGCTTGACCAGGCCTTCAAAGAAGGCGTTCTCAAGGACTATGAGAACTGGAGGCTGCAAATTAGACAAACATTTGAAA